CTTACTTGCTTTGTGTTAGCCACTTTTTCCTTCCAACCAGGAAAATCACTAATAAAATGAAAAAGGGGAAGAGGAAATTGTGTAGAATAGGCTAGGAATCTTGTCTGTTTCTCAAGTGCTCTGATATAAACTCATTCCTAATAGAAAATAGGACTTGTAACAAAGGGTATGCTCAGTAATGTTAAAACTGCAAATGAGATTAGTCCATTATTATTATGGACAGAGTGGATTTGCATAAGTTACTAGCAATATTAACAATTTTATGTTTCCATAGAATTGTCTAAATGTCTGAAGATTAAAAAGTACTTTTCAATTTGCATTTCCCTGACATCTAAGGAATTTGAGCACTTTCTTAAGTGTCTTTCAGCTATTTTAGATTCCTCAACTGAGAATTCTGTTTCGTTCTGTATCCCACATTTTAGTTGGATTATTTGGTGTTTTGGTGAATAGCTTTTTTAGTTCTTTGTATATATTGGAAATGCAAATCAATACAACTCAGAATTGTTAAAATCAAAAACACCAATGACAGTTTATGCTGGTGAGGATGTGGAGAAAGGAAACACTTCTCCATTGCTGGTGGGAGTGCCAACTTGTACAACCACTTTGAAAATCAGTATGGCAGTTTCTTCAGAAAATGGGAACCAGTCTACCTCAAGATCCAGCAATGTCACTCTTAGGCATAAACCCAAAAATGTACATTCATACAACAAGGGCATCTGTTCAACTATGTTCATAGCAGCATTATTTGTAATAGCCAGAACCTGGAAGCAACCTAGATGCCCCTCAATCAAAGAATAGATACAGAAAATGTAGTAAACAATGGAGTACAACTCAGTGGAAAAAAGCAATGGAATCTTGAAATTTGCAGGCAAATGGATAGCACTGGAAAAATCCATCCTAAGTGAGATAAGACAGTCACAGAAAGACAAATATGGTATGTACTCACTCATATATGAATTCTAGACATAGTAAAGAGGATTACAAGCCTACAATCCTCACCTCCATAAAATCCAGGAAACAAGAAGGACCATAAGGGAGACATACATGGTCCCCTAGAGAAGGTAAAAGGTATAAGATCTCCTGAACTTCTCATTTGAGGAGTATGGGGGAGGTAAGAGAAAGAGGAGGGGAGAAGCAGGGTGGGGAGGAGAAAATGAGGTATCAGGAAGATTGAGTTGGGAGAGGAATAGAGTAGAGCAAGAAAAGAGATACATCAATAGAGGGAGCCACTATAGGTTTAAAGAGAAATCTGGCACTAGGGAATAGTACAGAGATCCACAAGGATGACCCCAACTAGGACCCTAAGCAATAGTGGAGAGGCTACCTCAAATGCCTGTACCCTATAATGAGAATGCTCTCTACCTTAAATGCCATCCTAGAGCCTTCATCCAGTAGCTGATGGAAACAGAAGCAGAGATCCACAATCAAGCACTGAGGCAAACTACTGGAATCCAGTTTCAGAGAGGGAGGAGTGATGAACAAAGGCTTCAAGACCATGCCAGGAAAACTCACAGAAACACCTGACCTGAGTAAGTGGGAAATCATGGTCCCCAGTCTGACAGCTGGGTAAACAACATAGGACCAAACCAGACCTGGGCAGTCTATGGGGCCTCTCGCAGTGGAACCAGGATGTATCCCTAGTGCATGAACAGACTTCGGGAGCCCATTTCCCATGGAGGGATACTCTCTTAGCCTAGATACACAGGGGAGGGCCTAGGCCCTGCCCCTAAAGACTTGACAGATTTTAATGATCCCTCATGGAAGGCCTCACCCTCCCTGGGGAGTGAATGGGGAATGGGATGGGGAGGTCGTTGGAGGGCATGGGAGGATGGGAGGGAGAGAGAACTGCAATTGATATGTAAAATAAGATGGTTTCTAATTAAGTAAAATTTATATATATAAAAGAAAATATTTTTTCTACAATATTAATCATATTATTTGTACAAATATGCATTGCAGTTTTTCCATTTAACATGGGAAACATTTGCATATATTGCACATCAAGCAAGAAGTCTCACCTGAGGATTTTAAGAGTCCAGTCACTGTTTCAAAGCAGACATTGTTCCTCTTCTTTAATGGAAGTGATTGGTAGATTCCGTCTTTGTGATACTAGCACTCTCTTATATCCAAAATTGGGTATAAATATTTAATGAAACTGAATAAATACAAGTGCCTAAGACTTTAAGGCATGAAACAATATTTTTCCATTTTCCAGAATATATATCCAATTTCTTCTTTTTTAATAGCAATTTTTATTTAAATTAGAAACAAGTTTGCTAGACATGTCAATCCTAGCCCTCTCACCTACCCTCCTCCCCTGGCCCCTACCAGCCCCCTGCAACCTCCCGCCCCATCCTCCCTCCGCTCCCCAGGGAGGGTAAGGCCCAACATGGGGAATCATCAAAGCCTGTCATATCATCCCAGGCAGGGCTTAGGCCCACCCCCATGTGTCCAGGCTGAGAGAGCATCCCTCCATGTGGAATGGGCTTCCCAAGTCATTTTGTATGCCAAGGCTAAATACTGGTCTACTATCTAAGGTCCCATAGATTGCCAAGGCCTCCTCATTGACATCCAAATTTAGGGGGTCTGGTTAAGTTCCATGCTCACTTCTCAGGTACCAGTCTGGGGACCATGAACTCCCAGTTGTTCAGGTCAGCTGCTTCTGTGAGTTTCACCAGGCTGGTCTTGACCCCTTTGCTCATCACTACTCCCACTCTGCAACGGGGTTCCAGGAGTTCAGTTCACTGTTTAGTTGTACGTGTCTACCTCTGCTTCCATCAGTCACTGGATGAAGGCACTAGGATGGCATATAAGGTAGTCATCAATCTCATTATTGGGGAAGGGCATTTAAAGTTAACCTCTCTGCTATTGCTTAGACTATCAGTTGGTGTCATCCTTGTAGATCTCTGAAGATCTCACTAGTGCCAGATGTCTCCTCAAACCTATAATGACAACCTCTATTATGGTATCTCTCATCCTGCTCTCTATTCTTCCCTGACTCAACCTTACTGCTCCTGCATGTCCTCCTCTCCTCAACTCCTCTCCCTCTCACTTTCTCCCTGCTCCTTCTCCCCTCACCCCATACTCCCAATCCTCTCAGAAAATCCTGCCCCATTCTCCCTCTCCAGGGTACCAGGCATATCTCTCTTAGGGTCCTTCCAGTCCCAGACTCTCTGGCAGTGGGATTGCAGGCTGGCAATGTCCAGCTCCATATCTAAAGTCCATATATGAGAGTGTACATACAATGTTTGTATTTTGTAACTGGGTTAACCTTGCTCAGGATGGTTACTTCTAGTGCCATCCATTAGCCTGTAAATTTCAAGATTCCATTGTTTTTTTCCCACTGAGTAGTACTCCATTATGTAAATGTAGACATTTTCTTTATCCACTCTTCAGTAGAGGGGCATCTAGGTTGCTTCCATGTCCTGGCTATTACAAATAATACTGCTATGAACACAGTTGAACAGGTGTCTTTGTTGTATGAATGTGTATCTTTTGGGAATATGCTTAAGAGTGGATTGCTGGATCTTGGGGCAGACTGAACTTCATTTTCCTGAGGAATCTCCATACCAATCTCCAAAGTCGCTGTATAAGTTGGCACTCCCATCAGCAGTGGAGCGTTCCCCTTTCTCTCCAGCATAAACTGTCCTTGGTGTTTTTGATTTAGCCATTTTGAGAGGTGTGAGATGGTATCTGAGAGGTGTTTTGATTTGGATTTCCCTAATGGCTAGGGATGTTGAGCACTTTCTTAAGTGTTTCTCAGCCATTTTTAACTCCTCTGTTGAGAATTCTCTATTTAGTTCAGTACCCCACTTTTTAATTGTATCCTTTTGTCTTTTAGAGACTTGCTTCTTGAGTTCTTTTTAATTTTGGAGATCAGCCCTCTGTCAGATGTAGGGTTGGTGAATATCTTTCCCATTATTTGGGCTGCCTTTTTGTCTTGTTGACAGTGTCCTTTGCCTTACAGAAGCTTCTCAGTCTTGGGAGGTCCCATTTATTAATTTTCAATCTCAGTGTCTGTGTTACTGGTGTTATGTTCAGGAAGCGGTCTCCTGTACCAGTTCATTGACAGGTACTTCCCACTTTCTCTAAGAGGGTTAGTGTGGCTGGATTTATGTTGAGATCTTTGATCCATTTGGACTTAAGTTTTGTGCATGGTGAGAATTATGACTCTATCTGCAGTCTTCTACATGGCAGTAGCCAGTTATGCCAACACCATTTGTTGAAGAAACTTTCTTTTTTTCCATTGTATAGATTTACCTTCTTTGTAGAAGATCAGGAGTTCATAGGTGTGTGGTCTACCTATCAATTTTTGTGACAATACCAAGCTGTTTTCATTACTATAGGTCTATAGTAGAGCTTGAAGTCAGGGATACTGATGCCACCTGAAGTTCCTTTATTGTACAGGGTTGTTTTGGCTATCCTGGGTCTTTTGTTTTTCCATATAAAGTTGAGAATTATCCTTTCAAGGTCTTTGAAGAATTGTGCTGGGATTTTTTTTCCTGATGCTGTGACTCTTTATTACAGTTCCTCTTCATGGTTCTGAAGACACCAACCAAAAATTATTTTTGTTGCTACTTCATAATGCAAATTTGCTGTTATGAATCATAATGCAAATATCTGTGTTTTCTGATGGTCTTAGGCAACCCATGAAAGGGTCAACTGACCTCCAAAGGGGTCATGACCCACAGGTTGAGAATCACTACTCTAGACTCTCCAGTAGGCAAAAGGAAAGAAACTGAGTTCTTCACTGGGCTGGTACTGCACTTCTTTCATCCCAGCACTAAGGCAGAGGTAGGATGAGCTCAGTGAGTTCAGGGTCACCCTAGCCTACAGAGTACATTCCAGACTAAGCAGGGTTATGTAGTGAGACCCAGTCTCAAATTAAGAGAGGAAAAAAAAAAAGGAAGGAAGGACGGAAGGAAGGTAGGAAGGAAGGAAGAAAGGAAACAGACTTCTCATAAATAAAAAAGGATTGGTGTGGGCACTACAGGCACAAATGCCAGAGCACATTTGCTGGTCCTGTTTCACCTTAAAACACACCCTGCAGGGTGGGGGATCAGAGTGACTACCAGTCACAAATCACACCCACCAGAAGACCACCCTGCTTCTCTAAGGGTCAGCCATGGGATACAGTTCTTTGTCTTTCCTGAGGAGATCATTGTACATCTGGTCATATGTGGTTTTGAAGTCATAAACATTGGGCTTGTCAGGTGCTGGTCCTGGGAGCTTCACATGAGTTCCTGTTCCAAAGGACCGGACACTGAAACCCCACTTGCTGAGGATGTTGTGTGCTTCCATGCTCCGATTCTGGTTACTGGAGCACACGACCGCCACCCACAGCGGCGACGACGGCATGGCACCGGCCGACAGCGCTCCCCACGGCACTCTCGCTCCGGAGCTCCCACCAAGCAGCCGGCTTCCGCCCGAGTGTGCTGGGATTTTTATAGGTATTGCATTGAATATGTAGCTTGCTTTTGGTAGGATTGCCATTTTTACTATGTTGATCCTATCTATCCAAGAGCATGGGAGATCTTTCCATTTTCTAATATCTTCTTTAATTTATTTCTTTAAAGACTCAATGTTCTTGTCATACAAGTCTTTCACCTGTTTGGTTAGAGATACCCCAAGATGTTTTTTTTTGTGGTGATTATAAAGGGTGATGTTTTTCTAATTTCTTTCTCAGAACATTTATTGTCTAGGTATAGAGGGGTTACTGATTTTTTTTTAGTTAGTCTTGTATCCTGCCACTTTGCTGAAGGTGTTTATCAGCAGTAGGAGTTCCCTGGTAGAATTCTTTGTATCACTTACATGGACTATCATATCATCTGAAAATAGTGAGAGTTTGACTTCTTTTCCTATTTGTATCCCCTTGATCTCCTTTTGTTGTCTTATTGCTCCAGCAAGAACTTCAAATTGAAGAGATATGGAGAGAGTGGACATCCTTGTCTTGTATCTGACATTAGAGGAATACCCTTGAGTTTCTCTCCATTTAGTTTGATGTTGGCTGTTGGTTTGCAGTATATTGCATTTATTATGCTTAGGTAGGTTCCTGTTATCCCTGATCTCTCCAAGATCTTTATCATGAAGTTGTCAAAGGCTTTTTCAGCATCTAGTGAGATGATCATGTGGTTTTTCTTTTTCAGATTGTTTATATTGTGGATTACATTGATGGATTTTTGTATGTTGAGCCATCCCTGAATTCCTGGGATGAAGCCTACTTGATCATGGTGGATGTTTTTTCTGATGTGTTCTTGGATTTGATTTGCCATTATTTTGTTGAGTATTTTTGCATCAATGTTCATGAGGGAGATTGGTCAGTAGTTCCCTTTCTTAGTTGTGATTTTTGTGTGGTTTAGGTACTAGGGTGATTATAGTCTCATAGAAAGAGTTTGGCAGTGACCCTTCTGCTTCTATTGTGTGGAACACTTTGAGGAGTATTGGTATTAGTTCTTCTTTGAATTTCTGGTAGAATTCTGCCCTGAAACCATCTGACCCTGTACTTTTTTTAGTTGGGAGACTTTTGATGACTGCATATATTTCTTTAGGCTTTATACGTCTATTTAAATTGTTTATCTGTTCTTGATTTAATTTTGGTAAGTGATATTTATCCAGAAAATCTTTCATTTCCTTTAAATTTTCCATTTTTGTGGAGTACAGGCTTTCAAAATATGACCTAATTATTCTCTGGATTTCCCCAGTGTCTGTTGTTATGTCCCACTTTTTATTTCTGATTTTGTTAATTTGCATGTTTTCTTGCTGCCTTTTGGTTAGTTTGGATAAAGGTTTGTCTATCTTGTTGGTTTTCTCAAAGAACCAACTTTTTGTTTCATTGAATCTTTGTATTGTTTTCTTTGTTTCAACTTTATTGATTTCAGCTCTCAATTTCATTATTTCCTGGTTACTATTCCTCTGGAGAGAATTTATTTCTTTGTGTTCTAGAGCTTCCAGGTATTCTATTAATTCTCTAATGCGGATATTCTACAGTTTCTTCATGTGGGCACTTAATGCTATAAACTTTCCTCTTAGACCTGCTTTCAGAGTGTCCCATAGGTTTCAGAGTGCCTTCATTTTCATATTGAATTCTAGGAAGTCTTTGATTTCTTTACCCAAGAGTGATGCAACTGAGCATTGTTCAATTTCCATGAGTCTGTGGGTTTTCTGCAATTTGTGTTGGTGTTGAATTCTAATTTTAAGCCATGGTAGTCCAATAAGATAAAGGGGGTCATTCCAATTTTCTTGTATCTGTTGAGGTTTGCTTTATTGCAAAGTATGTGATCGATTTTAGAAAAGGTTCCATGTGGTGCAGAAAAGAAGTTATAATCCTTTGTGTTTGGATTGAATGTTCTGAAAATGTCTGTTAAATACAATTGTGTCATAACTTCTGTTAGTTCCTGTGTTTCTTTGTTAAGTTTCTGTCTGGTGGTCCTGTCCAGTGGTGAGAATGGGGTGTTGAAGTCTTTCACTACAAGTGTGTGGTGTTTAATATGTGATTTGAGTTTTAGTAATGTTTCTTTTATGAAAGTGGGTTCCTTTATATTTGGGACATAGATGTTTAGAATTGAGACTTCATTCTGATGGATTTTTCCTATGATGAATATGAAGTGACCTTCTTCATCTTTTTGATTAACTTTACTTCAAAGTCTAATTTGTTAGATATTAGGATAGCTACACCTATTTGCATCTTAGGTTCATTTAATTGGAAAAATTTTTCCCAGCCCTTAACTCTGACATAACATCTGTCTTTGAAGGTGGGATGTGTTTCTTGCATGCAGCAGAAGGATGGATTTTGTCTTCATATTCATTCTGTTTGCCTGTGTCTTTTTATAGGTAAGTTAAGATAGTTGATATTAAGGGATATTAATGACCATTTATGGCTGATTCTTGTTTGTTTTGGATTCATTTTGGTGGTGGAATTGTGTATGAGTTTTGCCCCTATTTCTAGCTTTTGGTACAGTTAGATTATCAATTGCCTATGTTATTGTGAGTGTAGTCAATTTCCTCAGGTTGGAGTTTTCCTTCCAGAACTTTCTGTAGGACTTAGTTTGGGGATATGTATTGTGTAAATCTGGTTTTGTCATGGTTTGCCTTTATATGTTACTTGGCCTTTTTATTTGGTGCTCTTAATTTTCTTTCTTTATTTTGTATGGGCTCTACTTTAATTTTAGCCATGCTGTTTAGCATATAAGACTCTGGAGGTCAGAAAAAGATAGAGATACAAAAAGGATAGATCCAGAGAAACAAAATTTCTGAATGCTATATAGGGTGTCCATTCTTTCCATTTCTCTTCAATATTGTACTTGAAGTTCTAGCTAGAGCAATCTGACAACAAAAGGAGATCAAGGGGATACAAATTAGAAAGGAAGAGGTCAAACTTTCACTATTTGTAGATGATATGATAGTTTACATAAGTGACCCAAAAAACTCTACCAGGGAACTCCTGCAGCTGATAAATACTTTCTGCAAAGTGGCAGTATGTAAGATCAACTCAAGAAAATCAGTAGCCCTACTATGTACAGACAATAAAAGGACTGAGAAAGAAATCAGAGAAACATCGCCATTTACAATAGCTACATACAAAATGCTAGCCAAACAAGTGAAAGACCTGTATAGCAAGAACTTTGAGTCTTTAAAGAAAGAAATTAAAGAAGACACCAGAAGGTTGAAAGATCTCCCATGCTCTTGAATAGATAGGATCAACATAGTAAAAATGGCAATCTTACCGAAAGCAATATACAGATTTAACACAATCCCCATTAAAATCCCAGCACAATTCTTCACAAACCTTGAAGGAACAATAATGAACTTTGTATGAAAAAAAAAAGATCCAGGATAGCCAATACAACCTTATTCAACAGAGAAACATCTGGAGGCATCACCATCCTTGACCTCAAGCTCCATTATAGAACTGTAGTCCTGAAAACAGCTTGGTATTGGCACAAAAATACACAGGTAGAACAATGGAATAGAATTGAACACCCTGATATTAATCCATACGTGTATGAACATCTGATTTTCGACAAAGAAGCTACAAATAAACAATGGAAAAAAGAAAGCATCTTCAACAAATGGTGTTGGCATAACTGGATGCTGGCATGTAGAAGAATGAGGATAGATCCATGTCTATCACCATGCACAAAACTTAAATCCAAATGGATCACAGACCTCAATATAAATCCAGCCATACTGAACCTGTTAGAAGAGAATGTGGGAGGCACCCTTGAACAAATTGGTACAGGAGACAACTTCCTGAACATAACTCCAATAGCATAGACACTAAGATTGACAATTAGTAAATGGGACCTCCTGACACTGAGAACCTTCTGTAAGTCAAAGGACACAGTCAGAAAGACAAAAAGGCAACCCACATCTGACAGAGGGCTGATCTCCAAAATTTACAAAGAATTCAAGAAGCATCTCTAAACACCAAAGGATCCAATCAAAAAGTGGGGGTACAGAACTAAATAGACAATTCTCAGTAGAGGAGTCTAAGATGGCTGAGAGACACTTGAGAAAGTGCTCAACATCCTTAGCCATACGGGAAATGCAAGTCAAAACAACTCATAGATACCATCTCACTCCTGTCAGGATGGCTAAAATAAAAAACTCCAACGACAGTTTATGCTGGAGAGGATGTGGAGAAAGGGGAACACTCCTCCACTGCTGCTTGGAGTGCTGACTTGTACAACCACTTTGAAGTCAGTATGGAGATTACTCAGGAAAATGGGAACCAGTCTACCACAAGACCCAGCAATTCTTCTCTTAGGCATATATCCAAAAGATACGCATTCATATAACAGGGATGTCTGTTCCACTATGTTTATAGAAGCATTATTTTTAATAGCCAGAGCATGAGAGCAACCTAGATGCCCCTCAACTGAAGAGTGGATAGAGAAAATGTGGTACAGTTACACAATGGAGTACTATTCAGCGGGAAAAAATGGAATCTTGATATTTTCAGCCAAATGGATGGCACTAGAAGAAAGCATCTTGAGTGACGTAACCCAGTCACAAAAAGAGAAACATGATATGTACTCACTCATTTATGGATTTTAGACATGAATCAGGGGAGTGCCAGCCTACAATCCCACTGCCAGAGAGTCTAGGAAACAGAACCTTCATCAGTGACTGATGGAAGCAGAGGCAGATACCCACAGACAAACACTGAACTGAACTTCTGGAATCCAGTGTCAGAAAGAGAACTGATGGGCAAAGGAGTTAAGACTGGGCTGCTTTAACCCACAGAAACAGTTGACGTGAACAAGGGGGAGCACTTGGACCCCAGACTGATGGCTGTGTGGAAAGCATGGGACTGATCCAGACCCCCTGAATATGGGTGTCAGGGAGGAGGCCTAGGTAATCTATGGGTCCTTGGGTAGTATTTATCTCTAGCATACAAATAGACTTTGAGTGCCCATGCCAC